CCGCCCCGCACTCACCTAGCACCGTGAGCCGCGTGCCTGGCCCGAAGTACTGGGTCTCTTGGTTCACGGCCCCTCAGCCCCACACAAAAACTCGCTCTTGTCCCCGCTTACCTACAACCAATAGTCGGGTGCCCGCACCGAAGTGCTGAGTGTTTTGGCCCACAGCACCCGGACGCAGCACAAAAATTGGCTAGGCCGTGCACATCCCGCGGGTCCCTGAGCGCCCACACTCCTACTTCTCCCAAATCCTCCGTGCGTCCAGCTTACCCTGCACGGTCAGCCGGGTTCCTGGGCCGAAATACTGCGTGTCTGTGATCACAGCATTCCAGCCCAGGACAAAAACCGGTTTTGCCCACTCTTACTGTCCCGGACCCAGTAGGGTCCCTACCGACCTGAGTGCTCCATAGCTCTCCCAGCCCCGGGACCGGGGCTCCCTGGCTCAGGTGCAGAGCAGAGACCTTCAGCACGGTCCCAAAGGCACACTGAGCGGCTGCCCACCCTCCAGGACCCACCCATCTGCAGCCCCCAGCTGCCATCCTTACCTAGAACGGTTAGCTTGGAGCCTTCTCCAAAATACAGCTGCCCGGTGTTCACACACCCCTGGGGATCCTATCGCAAACTCCATAAAGGGCCCTGTGTGGCCCAGCGATCACCCTTTTCCCCAAGGCCAGGATTCAGGGGGTCTACCTGAGAGGCCCACCCTCCTTCCCACTGCGGGTGGAAGGCTCTGTCTTACCTAACACCGTGAGCCACGTCCCTGGTCCAAAGAACTGCTCAGCATAGTAGCACAGCAGGAAGGGGCTGCCTAGAATTCCTCCTCCTTCCCCACTTCCCCCAGTGCAGAAAGGGCGCACCCTCCCTCTGCTTCCTGGGCTGGTCTCTTCCCACTTCCAGAATTAGCTGGACATAGTAATCTGGGCATTGTACAAGATCATCCCCAATTTGCAGAGGAGAATCAACTTGGCATAGGGACGATGCAGTGGACTTGAAGTCCAAAGGGGTGTGGATGGTGACTGTAGCCTGCAGTTGGGAAGTCTTGAAGGTTGGACCCTATTTCTTATTAAGCCTGCAGTTGGGAAGTCTTGCAGGTTGGACCCTATTTCTTATTACTTATTCTACCTGTAACTTCTGTGACCTCAGTTTCTTCATGGGAAAGATGGGTTGTCTTTCCCACACTTTTTTCTTTTAATGAATTTTTAATGTGTGATGTATGCACAAGTGCTTTGTCAAGGGCAAGTTTAATGAAAAATGCTGACTGGTGATCCCATTTGCAACTTTGGCCTTCCCGTCCCTGGAAAGCTGTCTGGGAGATGCACAGGTATTCAATGAGTACAGACCCAGGCAGGACTGGGCAGGATCTAGCCCCACAGAGGTCTCACTATCTGGTGGTTGCATCCCTTGGTCTGGGAAGGCACTTGTTGTGGGGCAGGGCTTTTTGTAAAAGCACTTCCCCTACTTGAATCATTGTGCCCCCCCCCAGTCCTCACAATGTTATACTGTGATACAAAAACGTTTGCTCCCCGCTGCTTCCCCTCCCCAAACAGCAGGCAGGGGCAGGAAGTATGTCAAGGGCAAGTTTAATGAAAAATGCTGACTGGTGATCCCATTTGCAACTTTGGCCTTCCCGTCCCTGGAAAGCTGTCTGGGAGATGCACAGGTATTCAATGAGTACAGACCCAGGCAGGACTGGGCAGGATCTAGCCCCACAGAGGTCTCACCATCTGGTGGTTGCATCCCTTGGTCTGGGAAGGCACTTGTTGTGGGGCAGGGCTTTTTGTAAAAGCACTTCCTCTACTTGAATCATTGTGCCCCCCCCCAGTCCTCACAATGTTATACAGTGATACAAAAACGTTTGCTCCCCGCTGCTTCCCCTCCCCAAACAGCAGGCAGGGGCAGGAAGTGCAGGTGGCAGAGGTTAGTTTGACTGAGTGGGGCTTTGGGAAACACCAAGGCAGGGTAAATTTGACGTGGTGAGGAGCTTGCGGAAAAGTAGTCACAGTGGTGGTGGGTAAGGGATGAGAGCTCCCCTCCTGGGAACAGCCACCACCCCGAGGAGACCCCAATGTCACTGGGTTTCCCTTCTGGGGCTCTCTGAGCTCACCTGCTCAGATTGGCATTTATAGTGATGGCAGGGGGCGGAGCAAGGGGCAAAAAGATAGCTTTAAAAGGGGAATCCACAGAGCAGGTAGTACAAACTGAGGGCTCAAGGACACAGGGCTCAGGAAGCACCATCATTTCCACTGCTTCCTGGACAACTTCCCAATTCCTCATTCAGTCACCTCAGAAGTGTTTAGTGAAGACCTTCTACACGTCAGGCTATGTGCTGGTTCCCTGTGTGCACATACCACCACCCTGCCTCTTTGGCCTTGGTTTTGGTGATTCCTACCTCTCAGTCTTGCAGCCAGCTGAAAGACTGTGCCCCCCAAGGACCTGATCATGTTATTCGGGCTTCTGTTCATGCCCCTAGTTGACACAACCACATTCTATAGTGGATAACGGAGACTAATTCTTTTCTTGAAGGGTTTACCAACCACCTCCTCAGACACTTCCCTGATTATCCCAGTCAGAAATGGAGGGCTTGTCCTTGACTGCATTTTGGTAGACAGCGCATGCTGCTATTTCAGAGCATTGTCTTGTATTTCAGCCCTTTCTGACCATGACTTCTTCCCTTTATGCCAGTGTAAGCTGCTTGGGACAGTGATTTGGGTATCTTTATTTCTTGGAGGCCAGTAGCAATACATTGCAATGCTACGTGTGTAATGAGTGGGTTAGTGTATGTACATGTATGAAAATATGTATGTGTGTGTAAGTCAGTACACTAGAAGATGTGTCGATGGCTATTTCAGGAAGGCCTGAAGGTGATGAAGCTCCTGAGTTGGGCCACTTAGATATTATACCTGCTTGATGTCTATAGTCATGCAATACTATAGGGAGGACTCTCATAATCACCTCCTTGTTATGATGTCCTTAGTGTCAACCAGAGGCACAGAACAGGTAAAGAGGTGTCTTCCATCACGTGGGACAAGTGTCTTGAAGGGCATGTGCACAAGGCACCCATGATAGCAAAATATAAGGATTTAAATTTTAATTTTGAATTTAATACAGTTTCAGGGAGTAAGAGGTGGGGAATAGGGCAATAAAGGGTCAGAGAAGACTTTTTGGAAGGGCAGGTGTTCAAGGCAAGCAGAAGATACCAGGGAAAGAAGAATACTGTGTTATTCCAGATAAAGCAGGTATAACATGCACATAATGGCTTGCAAGCAAGAACCTCTGGGGTTTAGGAATGGGAAGAATGGAGTGAACATGGAATAATGAGGTAGAGTTCATCATCGGGTCTCTGTGCTTGGGATTATGTCACCATGGTGACAATGAAACAGCAGAGAGCTTCTGATGAATTTCTAGTAGAAATAGCACACTGATTTTTGGTTTTAAGAAACTTCATTTTCTATCCTTCCAGGAGCATTCAGAGCACATTTCCACACCCTTCTAATTCACTGGACAGAAATTTGTCAACAGATCTGTAACTTAAAATGCAAGATGCATATTCTATTGAAAATAAGTTTGCAAGTTAGTGCATTCTCTTCCTTTTAGCTGGGAAAGCTGTTTGGTAAACAATTGGAGGCTGGAGTGCTCAGGAAGGTGTTAAAAGGAATGCATATGGGAAAACAAGGCTTGTTAGCCATGGGACATACTAGTTAGTAGGTTCATACTTTTGTGTAGATCAGCTGTGCCTCAGAACAACTTTTCTGCAGGGCAGACAGAAAATTCCTGTTCTCAGAACTTCAGTATTTCAAGACTTTCTAGAAATACATCTCCCTTTTCTACCTTCCCATCTCTTCCCATCTCTACGCTCTGCATTTAATTTGCTTCTGACTTTTCTTACCTGAGGGGACTGTATCAACTTTAAATACTTCTTGTTTCTATCCTGACTGAAAAGCCAGATCACAGGGAGTCTGGACACAGAAAAGAAGTGATGTCTAGACATTCACAAGTCAGTCAGGCAGACCAAGGCGTGTTTATTGATTCCATCATCCAGACACTCTGGGATTCTCCTGGGGTAGGGATACTTCAGCCTGATGGCTGAACATGCAGGTGTGTTTGAGTTTAGTGGGGTAGAACTAGAATGAGTAGAGAAATGAAATAAACTCTTCAGAAGCACTGGCAGAAGGAGAATCCATGCAGACACCGTAATGAGTTGGAAGTCTCTGCTTCTATGTTCAAAGTAGGCTCAGGAATGCTTTTTCTTAACCTGCAGAAGAGGCATGAGTGGTGGGAATTGGGAGGAATAAGCAGGACCAACTGACCACAGAAATTATAGGGCTCTTAATGATATGCATTGGGAATTTGGGTGACCATAGCTCCTCCTCCCCACCATAACCTTTCCACTGTAATCCTCAAGAGAGGAAGCTTGTCTTTTAAGGCACATAAGTAAAACTCCCACCTTTTATCCTGACCACTTCTGGTTTTGAAAGCATCTCTGTGCTCTAGGCTTTGAGTTGTTGAGTGTTGTGTGTCACTTGTAACCTCCCTATCCCTCCTGCCTTCCTCTTACCATGGCCATCAGCACAAGGGCACTGACCAGCACAGCATACAGGGTGGCCTTCCCCAGCAGGATCTCATAGAGGATGGTGGCAGACAGGACCCCTTGCTGATAGGACACTGATGAAAGGAAGTGAGAGCAGGTCAATACCTGTGAGCAGTTGTCTCTGGCCTCTATCAACCCTGGTGCCCTGGCTCTTTAGCTAAAACCACAAGGGATGGAGAGAAAAGAGGCTCACTTACCAGAAGTGAATCCACAATCTGAAAGAAAGAAGAGAGAGAAATTGGTGAGAGACCTCATCTTCTTACCCAGATTCAAAATTAAGGCATCCTTGGGGTTTGCACACACTGGCAGGCCCAGAGTATCATTTTTCTTGTATCATGCCAATGTCAACCATTCCCTTGACATCTCGGCAAATGCAGCACTAGAGGGGACAAGGGTTCTACTGAGATGCTGGGCTACCCAAGTCACATGGAAGGAGGTCCCTAGATCAAGGCTGTGGGTTGAGGAATTAGCCAGATGTGTCCAGAATCATCTTCATAATGGGCCTTAGTCCCCTATCCCCTTTTTGTTTCCTATCTAGTCTTTCTACCTGAATCTTTCCATCTCCCTCTGGTGATCTTCCAGCTCAGTCTCCTCATTGGCTTCTCCAGCACCACTCACCTGCTCTGCCCCAAACTTCAGCGCTGACATTCTGGGTGACAGGTCTGGCCCGGTCCTTCTGGTCCCAGGGGTCATCATTCGAGAGCCCGAAAAACTGGACTTGGCAGCGGAAGTGGTTGCGGGGGTTGTGCCAGAAGGCAGCTGAGACCCTCAGGCGGCTGCTGAGGCAGTAGCTGGAGTTTGGGTTGCCAGGAAGCTCCTTGTAGGGCTGAGGGTCCGTGCTCACCCCACTGCGGGTCTCCTTCTCGTTCACCCACCAGCTCAGCTCCACGTGGTCGGGGTAGAAGCCTGTGGCCAGGCACACGAGCGTGGCCTTCTTCTTCTGGCCGATCTCTGCTTCTGATGGCTCAAACACAGACACTTTGGGTGGATTCACCCTGTCCAGGTTTTCTGCAGAGTGAAGAGAGGTTGGGAACAGGGCTTCTCTCAGAGCTGGCTGGGTCTGAAAGGAGCTGTGTATGTGTGTGGGCTGGGAAGGCATCAAGATACAGGGAAGCTATGCCGCAGTACATCCTGTGTGGTTTAGGGTCATTGTTTTGCTCTCTGTTTTCTCCCTCAACATTGCCACTGTAGTGTCCCATAGATATACATTGTCTACTTTTTTATCTCCTTAAGGTGGCATCTGTCCTAAGTTTCTTGACTTTCACTGCAATATTTCATATGCTGCAATATCTCATCTATTGAAAGAATGTATCTCTTTCTCTTTCAGTCTTGCTTGGTGGGAGGTTATCTAATCTTTTAGACAGAAGCAGTCATGGTAGAGTTGAATGAGCTTAGTTTTGTGATAGAACCATTTTTTAGCAGCGTGATCATAGGAACTAAATTGTTTTCTGATTATCCTTTTCCTTTTTGGGGCAAAGTGATAATCTGTTTGAGTCATACCAATTAGAATCAACTTTTCTTGCCTAGAAGAGACACTTTTCCCATTACATTGAGTCTATTTTTCTGATTACCATGCTCCGTTCTTGATTTTCACATGTGACCTGCATTGAAGATCCGGCTTGCCTCTGGGTGATGTCCTATCTAATGTTTCACTCCTACCCTGGGTTCAGGGTAGCTGTGGTAATCTGCCCAGCATGGATATAATTTGATTCTCTTCATAGGTTGAACCCTTTCATTTTTCCCAAAGCTTACAGGCCTCCCTAGTCAGGTTTGGAAACCTAGCCAAACTTCATATTCTTTAAAGTAGTCAAAACTACTTTGTGACCTAAACAAATCACAAAGTCCAATGCTGTTTCACAAAAGGGTTCACACTGGGAATCTCTTGGCCCTTTCATATGCTTGGAAGAGGGGAAGAAAATAATTTCTGGGATTACTTGAAAAGATGACTTCATCTGAAGACGAGCGAGAGTGGAAAGATCACATCCATCCTTCAGAGAACCTTCCTTTTGCCAGAGTTACAGTCTTCTCTACTCCACACTGCTCTGAACATAGGCATGGGATTTTGGTACAGAAATATGGTAAGTGAAGATGTCTCCACTTTTTTCAAACTTGAGAAATGATGTGGATGGGAAAACTGAGACATGAGCATGGAAAAAAGCAAACCCTGACACAGCAATGATAAACGACAGGAATGAAAGTCATCACACTAAGGTGAATTCGTTAGAAAGGATTTTCACATAAATTGGCCCATTCCATTTTATGTGCTTAGAGAGACTAAGACAATTTAAATCACTTTTCAAATTTTATGAACTCCACCGTCAGCCTTCCCCAGCCCCAGACTCTTGAGTTCAGGCCTTTGAATTGAGTAATTACACTTTTCATCCAACTCCTTGCCATGTGGCCTCACTTGCAGACAGTGTCTGCCCAAGCTCCCGGTGCCGATAGGATCTAGGTGTCCAATTCATTCAGCCTTGTCTCTATCTCTGGACTCCGTCCCTTCCTAGTCCCACTCCACTTGCCTCTCTTCCTCCTCACAAGAGTGGTAATAGTTTTATTAGGGTTTCATATTAGTGCCTCACCCAGCAGAGATCTTGAGGTCTGAGAAAATAGGATCTCTTAATTATTTTCTTTTCTTTATACTTGGCTGTTGCTAAGATCATGCAAGTTTCCCATTGCCACAGTTTATTCAGACCTGTCCCCCAGATGCCCACCAAGCACAGCTCACCCCAGAGACTCCCCAGGAAGCTCCTATGAGTCTGTGACATGGACTTGTGCCTTTGGTCTCAAAAGCAGCCGCCAAGCTACCCTGATCTCACCAGCCTGGTCCTCACTGCCTTCCTCAACCACCCCAGGAAGACAAATGTGGCAGAGTCTGGTAGAGGCAGAAAGGAGGAAGATGAGGGCAACAGTAGGGCTCTGTGTCAAAAGGAGATGTCAGGGAGGGATTTAACTGGAAGACAGCTCTTCACCAGGACAGGATCAGCGCTACACAAGTCAAGTAAAAATGAGAAGGAAAAGGCGGGTATGGTGGCTCACACCTGTAATCCAGCATTCAGGAGGCTGAGGCAGGAGGATCCTGGGCTACATAGTGAGTTCCAGGTCAGTCTCAACTACATAGTGAGATCCTGTCTCAAAAAATCCAAAACAAACAAACAAACAACAAAAAAAGGAAGGAAAAATAGAGAAGATGTAAAAGAGAAAGTAAAGCAACATATCCACTAAAACAGAGATGAGAGAGCCCAAAGAACAATGAAAAGAAGAGCAACCAAATCATAAAGCCCCAAAGTTGAGGATAGAGTTCTGCAACTGGGGAGCTGCAAGCAACCAGCAGGAGAGCAAGCAGGAAAAGTCCACAAGCTGAGGGGAAGGTAGGAGACAGTGCAGGGCTGGGTGTAGAGGGGCAACTCTGACTTTATACCCAATGCCCTTCCCAGATCACTGCCATCAACTCAGTTACACGCACACACGAACGGAGCCCCCTTACCTGTCACAGTGAGCCTGGTGCCTGTTCCAAAGTGGAGTGGTGAATTATAGGAGCACAGCAGGAGATGGCCATGGTAAAACCCATTTGGGGCTCCAGCCAGACACCAAGTGCTAACTTCTGCCTGGGATGGCCACCTCTCTCAGCTTGTACTCATAACTCTGGAGTAAAGGAATTCAGCTGGGGAAATGTCTAACACAACATGGGATGGGAAAGACAGTAGAAAGAGGTTTAGATCCATCTGAGCACATAAGAAGGAAGGATAAACCAAGAAAGCAGGGAGGAGGCAGATCATGCATTGAAGACTTGAGGAGAGAATTAGAGCAATTAACGAAGTCTCACCTAAGGAGAGGCAGACATAGGTGCTAGGAATCCCAAGTAATAAATTAAAATGTGACTGAGTCCCTCCCATCACACTGGAAGAAGGGAGAATGGCTCCTGGTAACAGTGGCCCCATTGTCCCAGTCTCCCACCTTACCTAGGACAGAAAGTCGAGTCCCCTCTCCGAAGTGCTGTGCCTGATTGCTCCACAGTACAGCATGCGGGTGGCAAACTCCAAAGGAGCTGTTGGGGCCCTTCCTTCCTTCACAGAGCTGGTCCTGCCACAACTTCACCCACCTTCATTCTCTGAGCTGCAGGCTCGGCTTTATCCTCAGTCCCTGCCTTTTCCCAGGAGTCTTTCTGCAACTCTAACATGATGCTATCCCATACCCAAAGAAGCCTTTTACTTACCCAAGACGGACAGCTTGGTTCCGCTGCCAAAAGTTAGCTTTTCATTAGTTGCACAATACTAAAGCCTGGCAGGAAAACTGCTTCCTGCTACTTTTCCTTTCTACTTTCCTGCTGCCTGCTTTCTCTTTCCATTCCTGCTAGAAATTTACCTCTGGGAAGCAGAGGGGCGGGGCAGGCAACTGGGCAATCAGAAGTGCTGTGGTCCGGGAACTAATCCACCCCAACCTCAATAGTTACAAGGATTTCCCATGTAGAATGGCCAGTGAGACAGAAGGTGAGCGCAGTAACTCTTCCAGCTGACTCTCCCTGCCTCCAGGTAGGATCCTCAGGCTTGGCACAGGTAGTACATGAAATACTGGAAATAGAAACTGTTCCCTCCATGCTACATCAAGATAAGAATTCGGGTCCTCCAGCTGAAAATGTGCTTTAACCACTGTGCCCAAGATGGAGGTTTCATCTGGTTCCCAGCCCTTCAGACCCAACGTACTCACCTACAACTGTAAGTCGGCTTCCCTCCCCAAAATAGAGGGTGCTTCCAGAACACAGCCTCCCAGGTCCACTTCAAAACCTCCCAGGCTGCCAAGTACAGCCGGGTTTCAGGAGAGGCCAGGCATTCGTGGGCTTCTTCCCACACACAGCCTCGGCCCTGCTCCACAAACTGCCCCTGTCCTTCCAGAGCTCACCCAGAACCCAGACAGGAGAGAAAGGAGAGAACTTGGGTGACTGTGAGATCCAGAGCAGATCTGAAGACCCTCCAGAGAATCTCTGAGAGTGAGGAAGAAAGTGTCACAGCTTGTTAATTCTCCCTTGGTCCTTCAAGTTAGGGGATTACTTGGGGGTACAGCACCATCTCTTTTCCCTCCATCCCAAGCTCAGCTCTGACTTTTCCAAGAACCTCAGGGCCACCTGGGGGATTCACCCCACAGGGAGCCTCCCTTGAATTTATTTCCAACATGAGATGGCCTCTCTCTCAACTGGGTCCCAGGAGGTCTGTCCTTTTCACATTTCCCAGGTCAGAATCCATCCTCGTCATATCCAGCCCAGAGACCCCAAGTCTTACCTATGACTGTGAGCCTGGTCCCTGAGCCGAAGGTATAGTCATAGTTGACACATCAGGACACAGCCACGCTAAAATGGGTACTGGGGATGCACTTTGCCCTATGAGAGACCTGGGAAGTAACCTGGAAGTTGTCTTACCTACAACCGTGAGCCTTGTGCCTTCTCCAAAGTAAACTTCTGTGTTTGCACAGTGACACGGGATAAGGAGAAAATTCAAATGTGGAGAGAGGAAGGCCTGGAAATGTCTGGAGGATCTTGGGATGAGGATTGTCCACTTCTGTGTTTTAGGCTTTCCACAGATGAACATTTTGATGTCAGATCCAGGGAACCACAGAACATGGCAGAGTCCATCTAGTATTCCTTTCTCAACAACAACAACAAAAAAATTCTCCATGCAAACACTCCCTGTCTAAAGGCCCATCAGAGGGATGTGGGCCTAGACAGCAGCCAGAAGCCCAAAGCCTCTGACCATGGCTCTCAAGGCCAGGATATCCCTGGCTTCTTCTGGAGTCCTTTGCAGTATTCATCACCTCCAATCCACCTTCCCAGTGACCTTGTCCTGGTTTTGTTGGTGTGGGGATAGAGGGATCTCCTACACCCGACTCCTGTTGGTCCACCAAAGTGTTCTTCTTGAGCATGTACTCTAACTGCCTGGAAAGGTCCAGTTCAGACCTGGGCCTGTCCACCGATAGCCTTGGGCTGACATGTAGTCAGGAGCAAGTCAGGTACATCCTGGATCCAACCATACCTGGCTCTGTGATCCTGGAAAAAACATTGAAAAATGGTGGACACTGGGGCTGGGTGAGAGGTTTTTGTAAAGGTTTCCCATAGAATTGAATCACCGTGGCCCCCTGTCCCCACAATGTTACAGCTTTGTACAAAAAGGGCTCCTCCCATGGGCCCGCCCCTTAGAGGCTAGAAGTAACCACCAGCACAGCTGCTGCTTTGAGGCAACTGGAGGGACAGGTAGATGATATCACCCTCCATTGTGCAAAGTGGTGGTGAGGTGTGGACTAGACTGGGGCTCCCTCCTCAGCCTGCCTTTTCTTTATGACGTTCTTAGCTCCTCGAGAGGTGTGAATTTGCAAGGCTGCTTGCTGAAGAGGCTGGTTTCCCCACATAGGACCTCCCTCTCCTAGTTGTTGTCATAGAAGGGAGCTACCTTGTCAAGAAGCAGCAGCCCCTGTCTACCCTGGCCCTAGTTCTCTAGAGAACTGACCAGGAGCTATGAAGAGTTGGAACTGCTCTAGGTATAGACAAACTGATAGCCAAGTGTGCCCTCTATTTCCAGGAACAAATGTGGGATCAGAGTAGAGCACATGTTGGCAGCTATCCGGACTTCTCATTGCTGACCTTGGAATTGCAATTTGGGAAGAGGAATTGAGAAAATACTTGTGGAGGCCAGACAGAGAGACAGGCCAGCAAACATCCCAGTACAATCACAAGGACCCATGGTCATGGATACAGTTTTTGTTTTCTCTTTCTGGAGAGATAGAAATATTTGAAGTTGTTGGGAGATTCTGTATTTTCCTTTCACCAGATGACTATACAGTTTAAGATCGAGGGTCCTAAATATCTTTCCCCTAGATGGTGCTTCCTTTGACTGCCTTTCAAGCTACTACTACTGCTTAAAATCCAGATGAAGGAAAAAAAAAGGTCAAACTGAGCACACATTGGCATGGAAAAATAAACACATAATCAAAAGATAAATATGCGGAAAATATTTGTGATTCTCATCATAGGGCTAATGTCCCTAATAAGCAATGAAGTATTCGAAATCAACAAGAAAATAACCCAACCGCCCAATAGAAAAGGGGCAACAGCAGATGGTTTAGAGAAAAAGAAATTGAAAAAGTGCTTGATTATAGGGGAAAAGAAATTCTCCCAATGATAATGCACAATAAAGCTGCATGAAAATAATAATTTTCATCCATTTGGTCAACAACATTGCATTATGGAAGACCATTCCATAATGCAACCCTAATGGGAAGCAATTTGGAGACAACTAAAAGATTACAAATGCATCTGCTTTTCATCCAGAAATCTCACCTAGAGAATTTATCTTGTAAATACTTTTGCATAAAAATACAAAATGTTTGTAATGTAGCTGCATCATGTAGAGTAGCAAAAGATTGGGGAATTTTCCAACACTCATCAGTGAGGGAATGGGTAAAGTAGACATATTCTATTATGTCCATACAATGGAATGCTATTTAGTGCTAAAAAGAATGACAATGCTTGTACTGCTATGGAAGCTCTCTAAAATCCATGCTTTACTGAAAGGTATAAGTGGAAGAATTGCAAACATGTATGCTGCCTTTTATGAACAGAAGCAAAAGAAAGAAGTATAGATTTAGTTACTTGGTTCTGCATAACGAAACACTGGAAAGATAAAAGGAAACTGATAAAAGTAATTATAACTTTACTGTGTTGCTTTTACTTTAGGGACATATAGCTATATCTATTTATAATCAAACCTAAATTAACAAAATTTAAAGAGGAAAGAAATGCAATAGGGTATTGCTTTAAATAATATGTATGATGATCTGCCAGTGAGAAATAAATATTTGTTTAATCTACAAAGTCATTTTTTCCAGTGAAGATCAGTTTGTACAAGAAGCTATCTTGTGGTCCTGAATTTGCTCAGTAGGGCCCCAAATTCTTAGGAAACACATAAAAATGACAAATTTCCAAGTAATTCTATGAGCCTTTGAGTTGAGTATTGAATTTTCTAATCTATATTTAAATAAACAGCCAGAGAGAAAATTGTCCTGCTGTTTCTATCACATTGCCAAGCATGGGATCCACAACTTCTCCCTTGAAGGGAACCAGGCAGGAGCAAGCTTGAAGAACAGCAGAGGGCTAGCTAGTAAGGCATTAAGCTGGACAAAAGACATAAGGAGAGAGTCTGTTTGTTTATACCATTAATAAAGCCAAATCTTGTCGCGAGCCGCTTGCCAGCAAGAAAGCACGCAACACTCAGGATCCTTCTGAAGCTTCTTATTGAAGAACAGCTAGCTAGTAAGGCATTAAGCTGGACAAAAGACATAAGGAGAGAGTCTGTTTGTTTATACCATTAATAAAGCCAAATCTTGTCGCGAGCCGCTTGCCAGCAAGAAAGCACGCAACACTCAACACTCA